AAAAAAAAAAAAAAAAAAAAAAAAAGATTAAAAATAATAATAATAAATATTAAAAATTATTAATAATAATAAAAAAACAAGAGAGAGGAACTAGATTTAAGCTGCGACCAGATTACAGGCGATGGCAGCCAACAAATCCATCCATATCTGCAGATTCAGCTCCATTAGACAAACCCACAAAAATACCGAATCGAGTTCAATAGACAAGACTTTCTGCGTCTCTCACCTGCACATACGACAAATTGCGGATGTACTAGCGTGCCACCGCAGCCTTGCTCAAGTCCACCGATCACAAAGTTAACCAGCGCTTGATACGGAACTTGAGGCCGCGGGATCGGTCCTCCACCAACGATCCGTTCGTCCAGCTCTCTGTGCAGTTGAGCGGCTTGAGCCCAAGTTCCATCATCCGCCCTGGCTATGTCGTTGGAAGGCTGGCCAGCCCCATCCCGGCCCCAAGTGCCCGTGGCACCCAACGATCGGGGTCGGGACACAGGGAGAGACCAACCCGCAGCAACAGTTCGGACATGGCCAAGACAGCAAGCGGTCAGGAGGACAACTACGGTCCGAAGAAGTCCTGAACAGGCCACAAAACGTCCACTCTCCATCACGGAAGCTGCAAATCACCTCCTCCGATCCTTCTCTGCTTTAGGAGTGAAGAACACTGGACAGCACTTGGATGAGACTTCCTAAAAGCCACCACCTTTAGAGACTTCCTAAAAGCCACCACCTTTCCTCCACTATCCGCCGTGGTTTACCACACGCTAACACCGCTATTAACTTTCCATGCGAAGACAGCTATTTTGTAGCTCCCTTCCTCCTTCCTCTCTCTCTCTCTCTCTCTCTCTCTCTCTCTCTCTCTCTCTCTCTCTCTCTCTCTCTCTCTCTCTCTCTCTCTCTCTGTGGACTCCTTCGGACGGTAGTTGTCCTCCTGACCGAGAGAGAGAGAGCTTCGGACGGTAGTTGTCCTCCTGACCGAGAGAGAGAGAGCTGTCTCTTATACACATCTAGATGTGTATAAGAGACAGCGCCCGCTGCTCCCACACACACACACACACACACACACACCTACATTTGCCTTTTGCTCGCGTCCTGCTTACCTCTGGATATTCGTTGTCGGGCGCAAAGGAGACTCAGGTCGTCTGATCTCGGCCTCGTTAAGACGGTCCTCTGAGTCCAGTCCTTCCTGCTACTAACCTCTTAGGTGACAATTAGGCAAAATAATGGGCAATGGGATTGCAGAGGCAGCCTTCGAATTTTCAAAAGCTAAGTTAACTTAGCTCTACAAATTTTAGCCAAGATTGTTTTCGGAAGTCAAGAAACGACAAGTTCATTTGTTCAGTAGCCCAAATTATTTTCCGGAGACCAGAAATGACCGATCCGTTGCAGAGTAGCCCGAATTGTTTTCCTATACGGGCTAAGTAAGACCAGAGATGACGCATTCAAATGTCCTGTACGGGCTCAGCGCTGATCGCCAAGGGCGCCGTGACATAGAGATACACACAAGACAACTTCAGCTATCCCCTTAGTTGTGGAAGCTCGTTGTTATGCTCTTCTTCTCAGTGTTGTCAGCTCTTTCTTCTGAATCACTTCTACCCCCTTCACCTGTCGTGCATCTTTCCCAAATGCCCTCAAAGCGCCGACATAGGGCAGATCCACGCTGTCAATTGTTTTACACAACACCTTCACTATATATTTCTTAAAACTCAATCGATCTATCAAAAAGTTGTTCTCATCTCAGTTCCTAAAAGCTGCTCGATTAGTTGGTGCAGATCCTCTGACCAGGGCACGCGTGACCTGGACCAAGGTACGCGATATGGACCAGGGTATTGGACCTGGACCAGGGTGCGCGACATGGACCAGGGTACGCGAGCTGGACCAGGATCCTCTGACCAGGGTACGCGACCTGGACCAAGGTACGCGACCTGGACCAGGGTACGCGACCTGGACCAGGGTACGCGACCTGGACCAAGGTACGCGACATGGACCAGGGTACGCGAGCTGGACCAGTTCTGCTTCAATGCGGCTCTCTCCTGGATCAGGGTACGCGAGCTGGACCAGGATCCTCTGACCAGGGTACACGTGACCTGGACCAAGGTACGCGATCTGGACCAGGGTATGCGACCTGGACCAGGGTACGCGACCTGAACCAGGGTACACGAGCTGGACCAGTTCTGCTTCAATGCGGCGGCTCTTTCCGGGATCAGGGTACGCGAGTTGGACCAGGATCCTCTGACCAGGATCCTCTGACCAGGGTACGCGTGACCTGGACCAAGGTGCGCGATCTGCACCAGGGTAAGCGACCTGGACCAGGGTACGCAACATGGACCAGGCTACGCGAGCTGGACCAGTTCTGCTTCAATGCGGCAGCTCTCTCCGGGATCAGGGTACGCCAGCTGGACCAGGATCCTCTGACCAGGGTACGCGTGACCTGGACCCGTTCTGCTGCAATGCGGCTCTGAGGGCTCTCTCCTGGTAGTCGCTATACGAATGTTTCTTTTACACTGCTCAAGTCGCAAGCTAGTTGCTGGTTCTCTAATACGAACCAGGGTACGAGACCTGGACCAGTTTTTGGTCCTTCGACACGAACACTGCTGCATAGGAATAGTACTTGGTGCAGATCCTCTGACCTGAATTCCGGTCAGGAGCCCATAGCATGCTCCAGTAGCCTTTCTTGCTCGCGGTTGCCTGGACAGAAGTTACCTGCCCGGTCATTGATACTGCGACTTGAGCTCCTCCTACGGTAAGAGTTGTGCTCCCCCCTGGACGTCCTTGTAGGAAGTATACAGACCCGTCTGGCTGGAGAGATCCAAAGGACGCTGGATTGAAGTAGGCTTCCACTGGAGCACGAGGACCTGCAGGGAACGCCCTGCTAGAGATGCACGGTTTGAGATGAAAGGTGAAGGCATAAGACATCCAGGCCTCAATCTTGCACCTATTCAGGTCGAAAGGGGGTAGCAAACCACAAGGCCTCTTCGACGGGCCCCCACAGGTCTGGCAGTTGCGGGTGGGAGAAATAGGGTACTGGGTGCGGAGAGACACACCTGCCTGCTTCTCCAACCAGTCGACGAACGCTCCAACCCGGGTGTAAAGGCCAGGGTACCCTGGCAGGGCACAGCCATCGCCAAAGCTGGTGATGCCTACGAGGATAGGGCAACCCTTGGAGGAGGAGGAGGTGGTGGCGGGACCACCACTGTCCCCGTGACACGTGTCGACACGTCCTCCAGTGCAGCCTGCACACAGCATCACCTTCGGATGGAACCGCTTGCCGTAGTTCTTGCACCCGTTAGGCAGGTGATCCACCGTAGCTGCTAACAGTCTATTTGTTTGTGTGCCCTCGTTGTCGGTTTGGCCCCATCCACTGATCGCAAGGTCGGAGGAGGAGGTCAGGGGCTTGTCATCGACGACCAGCTTGATCGGAATGACATCATTAGTGATGGCCACAGCTTGCTGCAGCTTGAACATGACCACGTCGTTCACCAAAGCAGTTCCGTTGAGCTCTTCTCTGTAGCCAGGGAAACGCCATAGCTTCGCTACCTTCATCTGCTGACCGCCAGATATGGAGGTGGACCCGAGACGAATGGTGATGTCGGATACAGATGACACTGTCCGCCCGTCTCGGAACAGACAATGCGCTGAAATACATGCACACGTAGACATGCACACGTAGACATAGACATGCACACGCAGACATGCACACGAAGACATGCACACGAAGACATGCACATGCACACGTAGACATAGACATGCACACGTAGACATGCACAAAGACACAAAGCGAAACACGAACACGCATAAATACAAACACAAACAGATACAAATAGAGTCACACATAAGCAGATGGACAGGCGAAGACCAAGAGCAAGAGGTGTTAAAGCATTGGTCCGGAGAGTGGGGGTACAGAGCGAATACACACAAGGGCAAGGGGATCAAGTCTCAGTGCAAACGGAAGAGCTCGTATCCTACCGACACTGATAGGCATATTAGGCAACAGAACAGAAGAGCCTTGTTTGTGCATTTTTGCCCACTTTGCATACTCAGCACTAGGTATCCTGGAAAAGCCGACGTTTTCCATATTTCCTACCTGAAGTGGGTGTGGTCTCATCACAGCAGATTTACTGTAAGTGCGCTAACTTAAAATTTCGCCATCTGAACAAGCTCGGTTGTCTCCGATTATCAGTTTTCCTTCATGACAGATTCTGCGCAGCCTGCAGCACCGGGGTGACCCCTCACGGGCCAGCTGCACAGCTACCCTGCCGGAGCTTCTCATCCTTTGTGTGAAAGACTCATCAGGAGTAACATCTGCTGGCAAACATCGCTGGCCAGTGTCAGAGAGAGAGAGAGAGAGAGAGAGAGAGAGAGAGAGAGAGAGAAAGAGAGAGAGAGAGAGAGAGAGAGGGAGAGGGAGGGAGGCAGAGGCTCACACAGAGAGAGAGAGAGAGAGAGGGAGGCAGAGGCTCACAGAGAGAGAGAGAGAGAGAGAGAGAGA